CCTCCTGGGTTCAGGCAATTCTCCTGCCTCAGCCTCCTGAGTAGCTGGGATTACAGGCACGCACCACCATGCCCAGCTAATTTTTTGTAGTTTTAGTAGAGATGGGGTTTCACCGCGTTGACCAGGATGGTCTCGATCTCTTGACCTTGTGATCCACCCGCCTCAGCCTCCCAAAGTGCTGGGATTACAGGCGTGAGCCACCGCTCCTGGCCTCATCCCTTCTTAAAATTAGTTATCTATTTGTAAACTGCTGATTTCTTTGTAAGCATTGTCGTCCCCGTAGATTTTTTTGTAAAGCATCAATGATTTTATCATTCTTCCACTCAAGTTTACCATAAATTTGATGTTTGCTCTTGCTTCAATTTTAGCAGAATTCATGTTGCTCAGAGAGGGGCACTCCTCAAACTGATGTCTTATCCTTCTCAGGGCTTCAAACTCGATCTTGTTCAGACATGTTACAACAAGTTAATATTTATCAACAATGAGTTTATTTTTGACACAAAAGAATTTGAAATCCATGCATAATTTTTCACAAAATTTTCACATATGGTGAAAAAGTTCTATTTTCCATGAGCTTTTGGAGGGGTTTTGTTGTTGTTGTTCTGAAGACTATTCAAGTGCAGTAGTGAGAAGGGGCGGAAGAGTAGAACAACGAATTTGATCTGTAACCGACTGAACAACCAATTGAGATAACTCATTATCTTTTAAGCAGTCCCATGAACTTTTTAAAACTCCTTGTGTAACATACAGAGATTGATTCTAGGTTGATACAATTCTTATACATAATTCTTTTAAGTGAAGATTTTTTCCGCATTTCTTTTTAATAGTTTCTCTTAAGAATCAAAGTTGGAAATTTTCTTTGATTTTGCTAAATTTTGAGAGCCGTGTAAATTCACAAGAAGTTGTGCAGAGAAAAAAAAAGGTCTAGCTTAATAAAATATTTGGGTAGTAAGGAGTCATTGTCTTCACCATGTTTTAAATAAAAAAATTATAAATTAACATAGAATTAAATACAACACAAACTTTTTTTTTTTTTTCTCTCTGAGACAAGAGTCTTGTCTCCCTCTGTTGCCCAGGCTGGAATACAGTGGCACAATCTCAGCTCACTGCAACCTCCACCTCCTGGGTTCAAGCAATTCTCCTGCTTTAGCCTCCCAAGTAGCTGTGATTACAGGCATGCACCACCACACCTGGCTAATTTTTGTGTTTTTAGTAGAGATGGGTTTCACCATGCTGGCCAGGCTGGTCTCAAACTCCTGACCTCAGGTGATCCAGCCATCGCAGTCTCTCAAAGTGCTGGGATTAGGGATAGTGAGTCACCATGTCCAGCCTATCAACACAAACTTTTAAAAGCACGGTATTATATTTCATTAATAAATGCACATTGGTATCTCAAAATACATCTGAATGATCATTTTAAACCTTAGTTTTATTTTATTACAGCTGTGGAGAGTTGCCAATCTATAGTTGCCAAGAGATTTTTGGAATCCTTATTAATGTATTTTCTGTAAATGGGGTGAAATGCCATAAATTAGACTTTTAAATTTAACACTTTTTAAATCCAAGTAATAAAGCACACAGTTTAAAAATTCATATAGTTCCAAAAACTTATAATGAGAAAGAACCTGTACCCATATCATTGTAAGTACAGGTATCTTTTTGATATACTGACTTCTTTTCCTTTGAATAAATAACCAGTAGTGCAATTGCTTGATCGTATGGTCTATTTTTAGCTTTTTGAGAACTCTCCATACTGTTCCATAGTGGCTATACTAATTTACGTTCTCACCAGCAGTGTATAAGAGTTCTCTTTTCTCCACATCCTCACCAGCGTCTATTATTTTTGGTCTTTTTGGGAATAGTTATTCTGTGATAAAATGATATCTCATTTTGGTTTTAATTTGAATTTCCCTGATGATTAGTGATGCTGAATTTTTTTTTCATATATCTGCCGGCGATTTGTATGTCTTCTTTTGAGAAATGTCTATTCATGTTCTTTGGCCACTTTTTAATTATTTGTAGTTGTTTTACTATTGATGTCAGTTTCTTGTATATTCTTGTTATTAGTTACTTGTCAGATGAATAGTTTGTAAATATTTCTCCCATTCAACAGCTTGTCTCTTCACTCTGTTGATTGTTTCCTTTGCTGTACAGAAGCTTTTTAGTTTAATGTAATCCCATTTTTCTGTTTTTGTTTTTGTTGCCTATACTTTTCAGGTCTTAGTCATAAAATATTTGCCTAGACCAATGTCCAGAAGAGTTTTCTTTATGTTTTCTTCCAATAGTTTTATAGTGTCAGGTCTTACATTCAAGTATTTAATCCATCTTAAGTTGATTTTTATATGTGATTAGAGAGAGGGGTACAGTTTCATTCTTTTGCATATGGATATCCAATTTTCTCAGCACCATTTATTGAAAGGATATCATTTTCCCCAAGGTATGTTCTTGGGACCTTTGTCAAAAATCAGTTGGCTGTAAATATGTGAATTTATTTCTGGGTTCTCTATTCTATTCCATTAGTTTATGTGTCTGTTTTTAAACAACTACTATGCAGTCTTAGTTACTATAGCTTTGTAATATATTTTGAAGTTAAGTAGTATGATAACTCTAGCTTTGTTCTTTTTTGTCAAAATTGCTTTGGCTATTTGGGCTTTTTTTTAAAACAAATTTTAGGATTTTTTTTTCTAATTCTTTGAAAAATGATATTGGTACTTTGATATGGATTGCACTGAATCTGTAGATTGCTTTGGGTAATATGGTAATTTTAATGATGTTAATTCTTCCAATCCATGAACATAGGATGTCTTTCTATTTGTTTGTAGGATTCCCTTAAGCATTTCTTATAAGGCCAGTCTAGCAGTGATAAATTCCTTCAGTTTTTGCTCTTCTGGGAAAGACTTTAAATGTCCTTCATTTATGAAGGATAACTTTACTAGATATAGTACCCTTGGCTGGCATTTTATTTTTCTTTCAGCACTTTGAATATATCATTTCATTCTCTCTAGGTCTTAAGATTTTTGCTGAGAAATCTGCTGTTAGCTTGATGGGGGTTCCCTTATAAGTGAGTAGACACCTTTCTCTTGCCATTTTTAGAATTATCTCTTTGTCTTTTGGCAGTTTGACTATAATGTGCCATGAAGAAGACCTTTTTGAATTGTATCTATTTGGGGATCTCTGAGCTTCCTGAATCTGGATGTCTAAACCTCTTGCTAGACTAAAAAATTTTCAGCTATTATTTCATTAAATAGGTTTTATATTTCTTTATTTCTCTTTGCCTTCTGAGACACTGAAAATACAACTATATGGTTGATTTATGTTGTCTCATATGTCATGTCGGCTTTGTTCATTTGTTTTTATTATTTTTTTCTTTGTTTTTGTCCAACTGAGTTATTTCAAGAGACCAATCTTCAAGTGCTGAAATTTGTTCTTCTTTTTGATCTAGTATATTGTTGAAACATTTGAATGTATTTCGTGTTTCACTTAATGAATTCTTCAGTTCCAGAATTTCTGTTTGGTTCTTTCTTATGATATCTGTTCTTTTGGTAAATATCTCATTCATAACCTAAATTGTTTTTCTGATTTCTTTGTATTGTTTTTCTGACTTCTCTTGAATTTTACTGAGCTTTTTTAATAACATACTATCATTGTTTTGAATTCTTTTTCCAGAATTTTGTAAATTTCTTTTTCATTGGAATCTGTTGCTGTAAAGTTAATTTGCTCCTTTGGAGGTTTCATATTTCCTTGTTTTTTTGCTTCTGTGCAGCTGGCATAATAGCCACCTCTTCCAGTTCTCTAAATTTGCTTTCATAGGGGAGGATATTGGCTGGTTAGGACACTTTGGCTTTGATTCTAGGTGTGTGCAGTAGTGCAGTCTCCATATGATTTCTTTTGCTATAAACAATGTCAGTAGTGTCTATGATTTCCTCAATGGCTGACGGTGCTGTTATTAGTGGGGACTGTGGTAAAGTTTTGCTGTGAACAGACATGCCAAGTGAGCCAGTCCTCAGTTTCCAGTGGTGCCACCAGCAGTCCAAGCATCCCTGTGCTTGGGCCCCAGAGTA